GTGATTGACTAATAGGGAAAGGGAGAATAAGTTGTAGGGATGAATCTAAGAATTGTTCGTGGATAGAGCCTAGAGGACTGACTCACGTAAGATCAGGAGTGGGGAATAAAAGAAAAACAAATTTGTAACCGGAAAAACTGAACCAAATTACTTGAACAACAATGAAATCGAAATTTGGCCCACTACAGAATATTATAAGCCCATTAGAAAGCGGCCCATCAAAAACGATATCGTCTGGACAAGGATTTTCAATGCATTATCAGCCGTTGGATTACATAGAGAATATGAATCGTTGGATGGATGCCCTACTTTATTATGATGATGATAAAGAGGAATCCGATGCGTCTCAAGTTCAACAAACATCATTCACAGTCTTTTCTTATTTGATCTCTCTCACGAATCGCCGGTGGTTTCTTTCTCTCTCTAATAAATCGCCGGAGAATCTTAGAACGGAACGATGTCTGCAACACAGGACGAAGACAAGAAGCCTGGAGACCAAGGAGCTCACATCAATCTCAAGGTCAAGGGACAGGTAATCAACACCTCTTTCTCTTTTACTGCGCAAGTGTATCTACTTTCTTTTCTTTTGTCTGAATATTTGGGTTTCCGGTTTTAAGGTCTCTTGTAGGTGCGATTAGGGCTTTTTCTTGTTCCCGATTTGTCTGTTTTCTTGTTTCTCAGTTCTAGGGATTCGTACTACCAGCGTTCACTCTTTGTTGGGTTTTTCTTCTTCCTTATTGTTGGTTTTGAGTTGAAACTGGTATACTCTTTCTTGTGTTTCACTGACATGAGTAATTTTGCTTCTCTTTTGCTAATTGTTTATCAAATTCCTGAAACTATAACTCTAATTTTAGGTTTAAGTCGTTGTTTTTAGAGCTTGGGTTGGTGTTTATTGTTTGAGGGTTTTGTACAAATTCTAGAGGGTAAAGTTAAAGTAGTTTTCGAAGTCATAAGCTAACCCAATCCTTTTTGAGTATATGGAAACTTTCTTATCTAACAAGAGTAGCTTTTATATATCTGCTGATGAATTTGTTCTAGTCTCTATATAGCAAGTCTTAAAGTAGTTTTCTTGGGTGGTGTTTATGTGTGGAATTCTCATCACAGAAAGGCTTTACATTAAATAATTGGTGATATCTCCTTTGCTTGAAGGACCTTTTCTCAGGTTACCACCATTAGACTGAAGAAACATACGATTCAATATCATTGTGTCCTATATTGTCTTTAACGCTTACTGGCAATATCTTGAATCATCAAGATCTGGAGTATGTTGTTTCTTTGTTTTCTTAAATCGTGTGATATGTTTGTATAGGATGGCAATGAGGTGTTCTTTAGGATCAAGAGAAGCACTCAGCTGAAGAAGTTGATGAATGCTTACTGTGACCGGCAATCCGTGGACATGACCGCCATTGCGTTCTTGTTTGATGGGCGTCGTCTTCGTGCAGAGCAAACTCCCGATGAGGTAAACATTTGATCTATATATAGTTTTCTGATTCCTTTGAAGCTTCCACTTTCTTCTGATGCTAACTCTCTGATACTACTACAGCTTGACATGGAGGATGGTGATGAGATCGATGCGATGCTCCATCAGAC